ACTTTCACTAGAAGAGCTTGTTTTGATCCCAAATATCATCAAATTGATCATCTTGACATCAAGATGCATGGACATGAGAAAAAAATGGATTTTAAGATTTGGAAACAATGCATCTTGTACCACATTTTTGGACCATCAATTTTCAAGATTTTCATAGATTTGCTTGATCTACACTATTTTTGAAGCTTTAAATTTTATAACTAAAAATGAATATATAATTTAAGGCCATCACAAAAATTTTCAATATTAAAACCATATTTCTCAACACTATTTGAAGGTGGAATCTAATTTGATTGTTTAGAGCCTCAGTTCTATACAAACCGCACCCTAAATAAATAAATAAATATATATATATATACATATATTTATTTATTTATAAGAATAATGTTTTGATAGGTTGGGCTGGGACTTTACTCGGACCCAACCCAATCCGGGTCCAGGTCCAGGTCCAAATATTGAACCCGAAGAGTAAATCAGGTTGAGTCTGGGTCTAGGTGGACTTGCCTTGGACCTGACACAATTATTTTAAAATATGATATAATATTTTTTATATATAAATTTATAAAGGTTAATATAATAATATATACATACTCTTTATCTTCTTTTGACACTCTTTTTATAGCCTTACCTATATATATATATAAAGAGACTACGCAACGCCTATGGGCAAAAATGAATGTTTTCGCCCATAGGCTTATCACCATCCGAAAGAATCGGACGGCGTGCGTTTTTCAACTACAACGGACCTAGCATGTCCGTGGCGGTCAAAAATTCACGCGGAACCGCAACGGACAACGCGTCATCCGTTGCGGGACTGTTCAACGAACTGCCACGGAAATAGCAACTCTATGGCGGTGGCGAAACACTGTAGTGCTTCGCCTATAGGCATTTTTCCATATATATATCTATATATTATTATTATTATTATTTTTTCCATTTTTCTTTGCAAATATTCTTATTAGTCTTAAAAGGAGAAAATTGATTAATTATTGCCCAAAACTTCTTATTAGTTATTTGCATTTTATGGTTATTTTTAGTAATTTTTTGGTACACATTTTTAGGTAATGTTTTAATTTTTAGCTAAGTTTTTATTTTTCTATATATAATCCAAGTCTGGGTACGGGTACGGGTCCTCCAAATAAATTCCGGGTCCGGATCCAATTGTCCAAATATTGTTGACCCAGTCGGGTCCGAGTCCAGTTGGACTCAGACCCTACCCTACCCGTTTCCACCCTACTAATAGGGCTGCAACCCTATCAAAATTTAATTCCTCACCTCAAAACTTACCAAAAAGTGCAGTTTTGTGTCGAAAAACCTTCAGATCGATCTTCTCGGCCTAGAGCATTATGGTTGTGAAAAACAAAGGATTTCAAACCTTAAAATTAGTGTATATTGTAACACAATATCTAGAACATCCATTTCACCCTAAAAATAAGTGTTACGGATCCACAAGATCTGTATCATTTTTTAGCTTCAAATTTCATAGTTGGTATTGAAAATTGAGTTTAGAGGCATCATAGAGATTTTTGATGTCCAAAGTGCTTTCCGGATGAGGATTCGAGGTGAGGTTTTTACTTTGTTTTCACAATGCCAAGGCCTAATAGAAATTGCGTCATATATTAAGTTAGGGGATTTTTGTGGCTTAGGATCTTTTTAAAGGAAAAGAAGGATTATCAACTTAAAAATTCCCTACATTGTGGCTCGCCAAAATCATTGTTGACACTGGGTACTAGTTGTCCGTAATTGTTGCGGGAATACTGTAATGGGTATCTATGGTGATATTCTTAGAGAGCTGTTCTCTTTACCTGCTTGTAAGCAGTTGCTTTTTGTAATTCATGGAAGGGTCTTTAATTGAGGATGGCTCAATATTATTACATGGGCATGGGAGGAAGCAACCTTTCCTTGGTGGTTATCAAATATCTTTGAGGAGATTTTTGACTTGTGCATGAAGAAATGTACTCCCCTTATCCTGTTCATATGGTTGCTAATGTGGATGGGGACACATTAGCATAATGTGGGGTAGGTCCTCATATTGTGTTGTTTGTGAATGGGCACCTCTACTCTTGAGATTCTTTCTTGGCATGTGTAAGAATGCAAATTTATACTTCATTATGTATTTTATGTAAGGGAAATTATCAATTAAATTGTCAATCCACCTTACGAAATAATTAAGGCGTCAAATCATTCCATTGAACATTAGGAGTCTTGCATTTTAAATTTCATTTCACTTAGGGACCTCCTAAAAAAAATATGATAAAAAAATGACCAAATTGCTCATGTTCAGCACTGGGAACTCTGAACAAGCAGGAGAATTTTGGTAAGGGAAATTTATCAAGATGCACCTAAAAGATGAACCTTTTAATTTTATACCCATTTATTTTGATGCAATTTCAAAAAGCCCATCAGAATACACATGATCATGAGTCAAAAGTTTGAAATGGGTAAAATGTTCAATAGTTGCTAAATTAGGTATTTTGATAAATTTCCCAAACTTTAGCCCGACTTAAGTGCCCTGAGTCAAATGTCAAAATTATTGTTGGCTGTTGAGGGCTAGCATCACGGAGTTGACTAATGACAAAAACCAGAACTCATTTCGTTAAACTGTAAACCTTTGTTCAATGTTGCTAGCCCTGAATAATTGGGGGCATTTTCATTATTTGGCTGGCCTACTTAAGTGTGCTTGAATTACCAAAATATCCTTGCTTTTTCAGGCTCTCAATCTTGAATGGGAGCATTTTTTGATATATTTTTAATGGAGGCTCATATGTGGAATGACATTTAGAATGCAACACTCCTTATATTAAATGTAATGATTTGACCACCTTAATTGTTTGTTAGGTGGTTTGACAATTTAATTGATAATTTTCCTTGATATAATGATAAAAGCATTTTCTATCAAAAAATTCTTCTTGCTGCCACTCTCTTTGAAGTAGGATTGATGCATTTCTGTAATGGTGGTTTGTTGCTAAGGTCTTTACCTTTTTGACACTTAGGTGACTAAATACCGAAGGCCAAGGAAAGCTACTTTACATTGGTTCCGTTATACATGTGGAGCTGTGGGTCTCTCTATATGTTCAGTTTGGATTTTACGGCATAGCAGTTTGATGGGAAGCTCTGATATTGACAATTGGATTCGGGAAGCCAAGGAGTCGACAATTGGATTTTGGAAAGATCACGTTGAGTCACCAGTATGTTCTCCTTGGTTTTTTTTTTTTTCTCGATTGTCTTTTAGTTGATTTTTTTTTTTTTGCTTCTTGTTTGTATTAAATTTACTTAAAAGATCATATCCATTTAGGTTTTGTACTTAACAGGTTGGTATGTTTCTATTAAGAATGTTTTGACTGAGCAATTGATTTCCTCCAAGATATTTTGTTAATTTCTTTTTCTGAAAGATCTTGTAAGTTTTTCCTTCTATATTATGTACTTCCATTGCTTCACTCACTAAATTGTTTGTAGAAACACATATTACTGATCTGGATGAAAAACCTCGTATACACAATTTTTGAAGAGGGGTACCCGTTGGGAAATGTGTTCACTATACAAAGCCACTGCTTCAAATTATAGAGATCGATTGGCATTGGTTTCCAAATTATTGTGGAATTGCCATTTTAAAGCCATATCAAACTATGTGGCGCTGTGTTTTAATTTTTGCAAGGCATCAGCAATGCCTCTACTCGGGATAAAGTTCCTGCACCAAAAAGAATAGGATTTGTTGCTTGATGTTGTTGTTTTAATACCTTGAGGTGAAGGGCCAACCTCCAAAGAGAAGTTTCACCCTCCACAGGAAATGCAAAAAAACAGAGATTTTTTAATCATTTAAATGATTTAAAGTATTTGTTTAGTTGATTCAAAATGTGTCTTTTTATAATTTTTAAACAAAGTCGTAAAAAATCCGCTTTTTTTTTGGACTTTTTCCCCCGCGAATCCATTTGAAGTGGGTGGTTCAGATTAGAATTGGGGATCTGATTCAGGTTCTTTGGGGGGCAGAATTGTACCCTGTTTCCTGTTTTTAAGTAATTGTTGTGAGCTAATTATGACTTGGCTTGGGGCTCATCTTGGTCTCATGAAAAGTCAGTTATGTATGATTGAGATTTTAGAAAATAAAAAATAAAAAAAAAATGAAACTTTTGGACTTAGTGACACTGGGTTAAGTCTTTAAAAACAATCTGGTACATGGGCTTTACGACTTGGGCATGACTGATACTTGATTCCTTTTTCTAGATGTTCGACATACTTATGTAATTCTGATTTCTTTTCGTCAATTATCAGATTCTTTCTATCAGGGATGAACTTTTTGAAACATTTAGGAAGCGCCACAAAGGGATGATGGAGCTTGAAGAAGTACAGTTAACTGCGACTTCTCTTCATAGGTAATACTCTTTAACTAGTCATTTGTATTCAGTATGGATCTTAAATCTTACTGTTAAATTATCATGGGCAGTTGTGTGCTACAGTTCAAATGATACTTACCTAGATTATTACATTTAATGCAATGTTTGGTGCAAAGGAAAAAGCATATGAACGGACTGATCCAGTCATGTAACGTATTTCAAATAGGAAGATTTTAAGCAAGTTACTGTAGTCCTTAGCTATGTGCTGTTCTAGTGAAAAGTGGCATTTGGCTTGCTGTTCTACACAGAATTGATCTGCTCTCAATTCTGATTACATCTAAATTCTATGGAGACAGATCTATCCCCTTGATTCCAGATGCATCATGCCAACAATTGTGGTAGAGACTATAGCCATATCGTCAAGTGCCTATTTCTCAAAAACTCCATAAATATGTTCAAAGAACTAACTTAATTGAAGTTTCAATGAGGTTATGTACCATTCGCCTGATTAATCTTTAGCGCTGCACATATCACCATGTTCTTACACACACATGGTTAGTGTCAGCTTGTATCCCATTAAAAGAGGTGTCTCTCACTTTTTAACTTATAGTTCTTGATATATGACTTAAAAAAAGTATGCCACCTTATTACAGGGGACTTTCCAAGGAATTTCAATTTGTTTCAGCAACAACAACTTTATGAGCATGGTGGTTGTCTATTTTTATTTGGTTTTGGATTAGCTTGTAAAACACTTCTGGAATTCCATCCTTGGCGCCGAAAATATTATGTGGTTCTGCTGCCATTGGTCTGTCCTAAATGGTCACATCGGTTTTAGTTAGTTTTGTCTCTTCGGTGTAAGTCTTGCAATGTTCAACCTATTGGAAGGCTTCCTTGTTTCACAAAATATAAGGGTTTTCAACATTTGTAAGCCCTTTCAAGGTCTATCTATCTATCTATCTATATATATAAATCTTAAAACTGATATGCTTACTGAAACCATATGAATAATATTCGCATCTTCAGTTCAAATCAAAACCTTGCCTTTGCTTGCTGCGTTTAGATAGAATTTAATTGCACGAAAGCCTTTAACAGGTTTCTTTCTTTGTTGACATGTAATGCAAATACACATGTAGAATATGATATTGTTTACTCTTGAATAGAGTCTAATCTTGATGAATCACTTGATGCTTGTCTGCTCAGTTAAATAAAATGTGAGATCTGTCATTGAGTTGCATTTACAATTTTACTGATCTACTCCCCTCAGTGTTTCAAAAAGCGCTAGGCGGCGCCTAGGCGGTCGGGGGGGTCCAAGCCGCCCAATGCTTAGGTTGACGCCCAGAAACCTGGGCGGCCTAGTAGAATTTTTAGTTTTTTTGGTTTTCTCTCTCTAAAATAGCATCTAAATGGGTTTTAGGTTTCAAATGAACCTAAAACCCATAATTTTGCCCCTTTAGTATTAAAAAAGTGACCCAAAAATACCCTCAAGGAGCTGCATTTCCGCCTCTGGGCGGCCGCCTAGGTGAGTCAGGCGCGCACCCAAGGATATCCGCCTAATTTGGCCGCCTAGGTGCTGGGCGGTCCGCTTTTTAAAACATTGACTCCCTTGATATGGATTCTGGTAAAGATCATAAGATGTGATGAATTTTATTTAATAGTTAGTTCTTCAGTTGCCATCGCCATCTGATTCTTTTTCTTTTTTTTTAAATTTCTTCTGTCATGTTGCTTGGATTGTAGAATGTTGTTGGCTTTCACTGAGCAAATAAAAGGTTACAAACTTCCAGAGAATTCATCAGATCAGGAGATGCTGGAAATAGTCATGGCCAGGTAAGGTTTATGTGCTGTTTTTATATAGATGTTACAAGTTGCATTTAAACCATATTGGCAAAACTTCTCTTTATTTTTTGGATAACTGAATTAGCCAAAACTGCTGTCCAAAGGGGGTGTTCAACATTTCCAACAGATGTCGTTTCTCCTTCTTTCCTTCCTTTTATCTGACCTCCTATGTCGCAGAGTCATGAAGACGTTTTGAATTGCTAGTGGTATCATGGCAGGTATGAGAAGGAACTCATGCATCCCATCCAGAATCTTATGGGTGGAGAACTTGCTCGTTTGTTTCTGATTCAGGTATTCACAACTTCTTCTTTCAAGAGAAACTACCGATCTATTTTGAATTTGATGGCCTGTTGATTCAACTTCTTTTTCCTTCTCAGATACAAAAGCTAAAACTGGATATTGAGACGTGAGTTCCTTATATCTTACTTTCCAATATATTGGTTTCCGTTTAACACAAATTTATTCTCAATATCCCATGTTTCTAACTAGCTTTTGGTTGAACAGGGTAATGCTTGAGCTAAACCAGATCCTCAGGGCTAATGAAATCAACCTTGCCGTACTTGCTGCCTTGCCAGCATTTTTTATGTCTGTTGGGTTGGGCATGTTAGTGCGGGCATGGATTAAGCAAGTTAGTAAATTTGTTCCTGGATTCTAGATTTTATTGATGTACTCTTTCAAGTATTATTAATATGGGTAATCAAATAGGCTATGGAAAACGATTGGCGATTTGGGCCATCGCATCCAGTGAAATGATGGATAGTGATGGATGGAGTTGGGAATCACAAGTTCAAGACTTAACCACGTTGGTGGTGGGTCCCATTATTTTTACATCAGCATCCATAGTTTTCTTTGATGGTGATGACCCCAATGGACTGGCTGTTGCATGACAGTGCAGTTGTAGTGATATAAATGAAGATCTGTAGTTGTTTTTCATCTTAATATATATTTTTCTTCTTTTGATGAATATGTATCTCATAAATATCTCAATATATCTTTTGATAAATATTACACCTCAATATATTGGTTCCCCAATTTTCAATGCAATTGCATATTTTAACTTGTGGCTTGACATTAAGCAGGACAAAGGGGCAGAAGGGAGGGGAAAGGTCGCACGGATTCAAAGGAGGCTTCTTCTTGTGGATGCTGAGAAACAAATTATGCACTTCCAAATTTGTATGGATCGAGGACAGGTGCACTCTTTGACCTTCTAATGATAGAAAATTGCCCTACCCAGAAATGTTTTGCAACTTGGGGTTTTGCCCTACCCAGAAATATTTTGCAACATGGGGTTGTGAGGGAGGGGATTATGCATTTCCAACTTTTTATGGACAAGGACAGGTGCACTCTTTGACCTTCTAATGATAGAAAATTGCCCTACCGAGAAATATTTTGCAACATGGGGCTGGGTACATATTTTATTTATAATGTGGAATACTTTTGCACAATTCAACATTCATGATCTTTAGGGTTGTGTGTGTGTGTGTGTTTGTGTGAGGAAGGGAGGGGACTATACACTTCCAGCTTTTTATGGACAAGGACAGGTGCACTCTCTTACCTTCTAGTGCTGGAAAATTGCGCTAGCCAGAAATATTTTGCAACATGGTGTTAGGTACATCTTTTATTTATAATGTGGAATACTTTGCACACCATTATAATCTTTAAGAAAGGGGGGGTGGGGGGTGGGGTGAGAGAGAGAGTAGATTACACACTTCTGAGGTACTATATCGTACACTTGGTTCCTCGGGCAAGATAGCATGTTTAGGGGCTTTACTCAAATCATTTCTCTTCATCTCTAGGGATTAAAAGAAAAATGACTTGGAGCTAAAAAAAATGGTCCAAATGAATACCCCCTTCCTAGATTGACTTTGATTGTGCATTTGATGGATGATTAAAACTAGGCTTTTGAGGACTCAAAATTATTTTGTTTCTTATTTCAAATCATCCAAGCAAGGTTTTTTTGCCCACAGATAATTTGAAATTTTCAGGTTAAAAAATCCTCAGGCAAGGTATTTTCTCCCTCAGAGTGCATCTACAGTTTTCTTTAATACGAACATACATCTATATATGTGTACGTGCGTGTGTGCATGTATGCATGTGTGCGTGCACGGGCACGCTTGTGTGTGTGACAAAACATACAAATACATGGGTTTGCTTAGTTGGTAGGTTAAAGCAAACTCAGCATTGTTGACCTCTTAAATCCCTTCTCACGAATAATATCCTGTGAGTAATTCTAAATCTAAGATACCATTTTTGTTAGCTAATATCCATATTTTAACCATCCGTTCAGTAGGCACTTTGGTGGCATATGCACATGAATCAATATTTGCACTGCAAAAGTTACATAGATATATGTTTTTTAATCATTGGGTATCACATTTATCATAAGCTTTAAATGAATTAATCTTCTCTTCTTTTGTAGGAGGAGGGTGCTCTGCAGAGTTTTGGCTTGATGCTTCTCACTCTTAATCTCCTGTATAAGGTAGTGGAAAGGCATGCAAGGGAGACGGGCGAATGGTCAAGGTCAGTGGTGTTTTTCATTTGTTTTTATTCTAGCCAAATATTGATTTCACTCTAGCATTGCAGTTCCTTGCAACCTACAATGGGTGTTGTATCCATGCACCCTGTTTCTCATGCATGTGTAAAATCATGAAGAATGAATGTTGTAGTTTTCCATACTATATAGTTCATTGCTGGGCTAGTCCACTTTGGAAGTGCATGAACCTAAATTTTAATCTAAGGAAAAAGTTTATATAAGGTTGAGGCCCTAAACAATCAAACTAAGGCGCACCTCATAAATTCACTAGAACAAGTTGTTTTGATACCAAAAAACTCTCAAATCAGCTCTTCTTGACCTTGATATGCATGGACATAAAAAAAAAAAAATGGACCTCAAGTCTTGTAAATTGTGCATCTTGTAATGCATTATCTAAACCATTGATTTTTAAGATTTTTAAGATTTTCAAGTGTTCATAGATCTGCTTGATCTACACTATTTCAGAAGCTTTAAAATTTATAATTAGAGATAAAAATAGTTTTTTAGGCCATCATAAAGATTTCCTGTACTAAAACAACAACTTTCGACACTATCTAAAGGTGTCCCTTATTTTTTGTTTAGGGCCTCAGCCTTATAAAAACCATACCTTTTATCATAATACTTATGAGAGATGAATAATTTAATAGTTTACCTATATTGTTTGGTTTAATTCTAAAATACCCATCACCCATCAAAACCCATGTGACCATGAGTTGGATTAGTTGTAAATGCGTGAAATATTAAGTAATGCATCCCTCATGGGTATTTTGATAAATTTCCCTTTTTATATAACTTATCTATATGTATAAACTTAGTCAAAAGATTTATGAAGGAGTGTACTTTCTATTTACTCTCTTTACTCCCTTGAGTAAATCTTAGTATGGGGGTGTTTTTAAGACCCAAATCAGCATCGGGGTTTTTTTAGGCAATTTCAAGGGGAGTATTTCAAGGCAGAAGTTATTCTCTTCTGCCTAGTGAATAACTTCAAAAAAGAAATCGAAAGCACTCTTGTCCTCAAATTGAATGTAGATTGTCCAATTCTTGGGCGGCCAAATCTAAATATTAAAAAACTCAAAATTCCAAATTTATTTTTTGGAAATAATTATTCGGTGATTCTTAAGTGGATCCAAAATTCAGATCCAAAACAATCGGAAGTAGTTTTCTCACTCAACTGAGTAAGCGGAGTAGCGGACAATATGCTCCCGTGAGACCATAATATATGCGTTATATAAGTTATTGGAAGAACTTTTGAATAAAATAGCGTTTTAGTGATTTCTAAATGAAGATTGTCAAAATAATAATTTCAAAAAATCAGAAAATAAAGGAGAGGGAAGCATATGAGAGAGAGAGAGAGGACTAAAAGAGAGTGGACTGAGTGGGGGGCAGATGGGGAATGGGGTAGAGGAGAAAAAAGACAGAGAGTTAAGGTGTGAAGGGGGCAAGCTCTGTGCAGAGAGGACTGTCTGTGTCTGTGTGTGTGTGAGAGAGAGAGCATCCGAAGCATCATAACTTGGAAAGTTGTATGAAACTAATTCATATGTTTTGTAGTTTGAGGCAGGATATCATTGACTTGGCAAAGCCTGGATTGCAGACTGGTTATAAGCTTACGATCACGTCGCGCATGGGACGGATGTACGATTCCCTACTTCCTTATTCACGCCCTAAATAATTTTGGCAATCTTTTTTTATTAAAAGTGGGTTGCTCTTGAAACTAGTTACATGTAAGGGCTATCAGTATTCATCATCTTGTTTTTTTCCTTTACTATTAATTTCTGATTTTCCCCCCAAAAAATATTAGTTTCTGATTGATAAGCTCAAGAATAGCAATTTTTTTGGAGGAGCATTGAAAACTCTCTCCTGAGTTAGAGAATTTTTGGTGGTCCATTGATAAAGTCCGAATTTTGGAGGGAATTTGAATACAGGTCTATCTCTCTCACATCATTTTAACTTCTTTTGGCCTCTCTTTCTCTCTACAGTTGCCATCATCATTTATCATTTTGGATTTATAGGTATGCATCAGAGAAAAAAATAAATATAGTTATGTTCTTTTCAGGTTAGCATAAAAAAGGCTTTGATGGTGATAATGTTCTTGTTACATTTATCATTCTAATCTCTCTCTCCACACCCCACCTTAAGAAAAAAAAAAAACTTGCCCTCATCAGTTCCTCGGGCCACATTTGTAGCCTTAGCCCCAGTTTTGTAGAGCCTAGCGTGGCCAACCAGCTCATTACCAACACTAAGGTTGGTTAGTGTGTCGGTCCTAGTTGGGCCGAGCTAAAGGGACCTGTCCGAGACAGGCCCTTTGGCAGGGTTGTGTTGGGACAGATGGAGGTGCTTAACTATGAATTTCCCGGCCCGGAACCTAGACCATCAACACTTGGCTTTGCCCCAGCCCTCAGATGGATCTGTCACATAACTAGGTATATATCCTTACCACATTAGCGTTGATCTTTAGTGTAAATGGCAAAGTCGTAATGATGATAGTGTATTTTGTTGCTTAGAAAGTTTTCTTTATTAATTGTAGTTCATTGTTTTTACTGGTACTCTCAAGATAAATTGACCTAAGGATGTACACCTGTATCCATTTTTTTAAGTCCAATGTTTCAGGCAAATTCAAAACTTTTTCCTCAAAAGTTTTAATCGCACCCTATTTGCACATTTTTTAACCAAAACCGAATTAATGTTGATTTGTTGCCCATAGATTTATTTATATTAAAAAACAATTTATAGAAGGTTGAGGCCCTAAACAATCAAATTGAGGCGCACCTCAATAATTTACTAGAAGTTGTTTGGTTGCCGAGAAACCAGCAAATCTGATCATCTCAACATTGAGATGGATGGATGTAAGATAAAATAAAATAAATTGCGCTTCAAGTCTTGGAAACAGTGCATTTTGAATGTATTATCTACATCGTCAATTTTCATGATTTTCAAGTATTTATAGATAGGATTGATATATAATATTTTAAAAGCTTTAAATTTAATGGTTATAGATGAAAACAAATTTTCAAGCCATCATAAAAATTTCTAGTACTGAAATGATATCTTTCGACACTATATGAAGTTGCGCCTTAAATGGGGCCTCAGCTTTATATAAGCCACACACTTATAGTAGTTTGGTAAAACTGAATAACAAAAAATTTGAACTAGGCCACCAGGCTACTGAGTTGCCTTCTACTTCCCTCCTATCCAAAAATGAGGCATCATCAATGCTTCTAATGATTGCCCCCCACTTGTTAATCGGAGATCTACACCGTCCACTAAAATCGGGTTCTCGTTAATAATAGTCCTTTAAAGAAAAAGTAAAATCAATGATTCAAATATTTTCACTAAAAAAATTTCATTTCTAATTTTATTTTTAAAATTTATTAAATCTTTCAAATTAAAAATCTCCATGTTGAAAGATTACATGCTCCCTAAAAATTAGGATCAAATTCAATCTCAAAAATAAATTAAGAAACCGTGTCCGATCTTCAATCACCCTTGTGTTAACTTCGGTTTTGAAGAAAAGTTCTTCCAAATAAATATTTTAAAAAATTATTCTGAGGAAATGAATCTACTTCACCTCAATCATCTCTCTTACAAACTTCACGCCCTCTCTCTCTCTCTAGGAACTCTCTATAATTTCTCTCTCATTGACATTTTCAAGAAATTTGTTTTCTTGCAAGGCAGACAAGCCCTAAATGGAAAAGCTTCAATGAAGTCCTAGTCAAATGCAACCTCCTTCAAAGAATCCATGTTAAATATGTATTTTGGATCTAAAACATATCCTAAGTTACTCTTGCGTATGTTCTCTTTAGATATATGATTTTGCAGTTCAAAAAATATTTCAAGCATGATAATCATCGAAAATTAAGATGAATGGTGATGGACCGTGCAAAAAACGACGGTCATTCTTCAAGGTTTAAAAATCCCTTCTTTTTTTCTCATTTTCATGATTGTGGATTATTGTTCTTGTTGAGATTGCTCACCTTTGCAATTATATATCCAAAATCCATTGCTAAGGTAAATTTTTGGGAAAATTATTAAACCCACCCTTGACTCAACTTTTATATACGTCCTCCCCCCAACTACTTTTTGAATTACAATGTTTACCTCAAAACTAGCCTTCATAGCAAAGTCCCCATCAAATCAAATACAAGGATGAAAATGCCCCCTCTCGTACACTTTGGCATCACATCCTGTCAGGCATTGAATCACCTAAGACAGTCTCGTGACCGGAGCTCAAATCATACGACACTCATCCGTCACAGAACCAATGCCGAACTGGTAATGACCTAATAGGAAAACTTGTAGGACTGGCGCACCAATGTACCAGACCTGGTCTCTGTCCGACATCTAAAATTCCCTAACTGATCGCAAACAATGCCAGACCGCTATTTAAATCACCAGACTATCTTCATTACACAACAAATTGCACAGCCGCGTTACAAATAGTAGGTACTCTTTTTTTTTTAATAGAAGGCACTACTAGCGTCATAATGTGACGTTTTGTTTTTAATAGAAGGCACTACGAGCGTCATAATGTGACGTGGGTACTAAGGGAGGCAGAAGGGCGCGGACCTTTCTAAAGCGAAAGAGGTGGGGTAAATGCTGTGCAAAGCAGTATTGGGGTTTTAGTGAGTGATCATGAAACTAGTTGGGGGGAGATTGTTTAAGGAGTTGCACCTTGAGGGGTATATGTAAGTGTCCCTACACTACCTTGAACAGATATATGGGCTGATGGACCCAAACCCTGGCTTCCATTAAATGCATGTCACTTGTCAATGTTATTAGCATTATTAGGAAGCTTTGTGGGAGCTTCTTTTAGTATTATTTGCCCCATCATGACTAAAGATCTCCAACCTGTACCTCTATTATTGATTTCTTCATTGCCCCCCTTAAATGTAAAGAGACCCAGCATATATCTCTATCATAAAGACCTCTCTCTTCTTGACCAAAATTTTTTTTTTTTTTGTTTTCTTATGGGCTGGAACTTGAGATCCAACACCATGATTTTTATCGCAAGACGTGCTGGCCACTTTATACTCTGACTTCTTGTTTTATCATAAATACCCCTCTCTCTCTCCCCCCTCTCTCTCTATATAGTTTAATGGTCGGAATTGGATTGGAGATGCGGCTTTACTTGATGTCTAGTGCTAACCATTTGAGAATGGGATTGGGGTCGTGGTGGGAACACGCCCTGGCTAAAGTTTAGACGTTTATTTTTACCTAACGCATTTAAAAATTACTAATGATTTAAAAAAGCGGTCATACCCACTGAATTACCAAGAAAAAAAAAAAAAACTAATGCTAACCACTCAAATCGAAGCCTATGTCTCTCTCTATATTGGGAAGTTTCTTTTCTAATTATTTCTATTATGGTTTCGTAAAATACTGATCCAGATTCGGAAGGTTGGGACAACTCCCTTCTGAAACTCACAACCCTAACCTCTCTAGTTTATGATTTATGAAATGTGTTCATTTAAAAACTGTCTTTTTATGATTTGTATCGTCAAAACTTAAAAACTTGATCTATAGGTTTGAAATATTGTATTTTTTATTTTTTTTTATTTCATTTTTTTGCTGATTCGGCCGATTCAAATTGATGTACTCGGTGGAGAATCCAAAACCCATATTTTAAATCACTGATTAACTCCTAAGAGGACTATAATAACACATTTTGGACATTGTCACTCATTAATTTCTAAATGAAACCAAAGGGGACATTCATGTCAAACAAAGACCATGAAGTCAAAGGGGTGCTTCTTCTTCCAAATTTCTCCATCTAGCATTTGCAACCCAATTGCCTGGACAGTTCTAGTGAGAGAAATTATTATTTTTAAAACCCTGCAAAATTCTAGTGAGAGAAAGTCTTCTTTGAATCTGAAGACCAAGATTGAACTTCTTGGGATCTTCGAGGCAGTTTACATCACTAAAACCCTAGACAATTCAAGTGAGAGGATCGTTTTTTTTTCAAAACCCTAGATTCTTTGAGAATATGAAGACCAAGATTGAATTTCTGGCAGGATAGTCTGTCTATATGCATAGAAAATGGAAAGAGACATGAAAGAGAGAAAGCGAAAGTGAGACTTCAACATTCAAAAAAAAAAAAGAAGGGGAAATGAGTAAGAAATGAGGAATGAGATTATTCACCCATGCCATTTTACATCCAAAATCCATTTTTAAGATAGTTTTTTTAAAAAGACTATACCAGACAAATAGACTGATGCACCCAAAACCCTATTCCCATTAAATACATGTTACTTGTCAATTTTTTGATGCACCCAAACCCTGTTTTCCATTAAAGGGTGCGTTTTATATAGGGGAAAAAGTTTATATAAGTGCGAGGCTCTAAACCATCAAATTAGGGCACACCTCTAAAATTTCAGTAGAAATGGTTTAAAATTTCAGTAGAAATGGTTGTTTCGATGCCTAAATATCCTCAAATTGATCATCTCGACATCAAGGTGTATGGATATGAAAAAAAAAAAGGATTTTAAGTTTTAGAAATAGTGACTCTTGGAATGCATTTTTAGACTGTCAAATTTTAAGATTTTTAAATTTTCATAGATCTGCTCGATCTACACTGTTTTTTGAAGCTTTAAATTTTATAATTAGAGATGAAAATATATTTTAAGGCTATCACAAAGATTTTCAGTATTAAAATCACATTTTTCGATACTATTTGAAGGTGCGCTTTACTTTGATTGTTTAGATCCTCGGCTTTATAAAAACCACACCCTTATATAAGAGTGACGCCCTAAACAATCGGAGTAAGGCACACCTTCAAATAGTTTTAAAAGATTTTTTAGTCTTTGAAATTTTTGTGATGGGCTAAAAATTTATTTTGTCTCTAATTATAAAATTTAAAAAATTATTATTATTATTATTAATATTTTATGATTTGCATTTTAAAAACTAAAAACCTCGATCTCTGCATCTATAGTATGGTATTTTTATCCTTTATTT